ATATATAGGTTTATCCTCCATTGTAAAAAATTGCAATGGAGGATCAGACAATTCGAAATAGAGGGCCAGGGTGGAACTTTCACAGGTGGAGGATGAAAAATGGGGCTGAGGTAATAAAATTTATGATTATAGCACATCTAGTCCACATTTCAAGTGCCCTGAGCATCTTACATTAGATGGATTTGTGCGCTATATAAAACTACACTATTATTATTATTATCTAGATGACAGGAAATGGCACTTTCAGACTTGTAAATTATAATGAATATAATTTCCTTTTAAGTTTGAAGAAAAAGGGGGGGTCAGTCTGGCTGGGGCCCCTTTCAATACACCACTCAATTGAAATCAAAACAGTATACAGTAGGCTAATCAATAATTACTCATCTAAATACCAAATATTATTGAGGGGCCGGCTGGCTGTTTTATTTTCTTCAAAATAATTTGTAAATTTTTTCAAATTACTATTTTTAGGTCTATTATGAATGGGTTTCTAATAAATAAACAGCCTGTAGCTATGCCACTGAATGACATACTACTACTATAATGCAACATGGAATAATGGGTTTGCAATTCAATGAATAAAAGAATGAATATCTGTCTTATGATTGTCAAATTTTTTCAATTGCTTAATAAATATAACAAACCTTGGTTTGTTTTAGGCCACTCCACTTTCAACAAGTTAACATGTGCAACTACTAATATCAAAGATAATAAACAGAAGAAGATAGAGCAGCTCGCGATAGTGAAATGTTCAATGAGGGCATCCATGGAGCAATTTTCCTAAACCCAGAGGCTGCGCAATATGTTTATAATCAACAAACATATCCAAGGCACCGCTCGAGTTTGTTTGCCCCTTAGTTTCTCCACTCTGTCAAATGGTCACAATTATTTCCTCCATTCTAGAGTGGGCGGATGTTCCGTCAATTTTAATGCAAAATATGCAAAGAGCTCATTCTTCTGCTATTTAAGGTCTTTGTTAATATTTATTTCCCTGTACAGTATTGTCTTGTCATGAATTAAATGAAAATATATGTCAGGAAGTGAAATGAAAGTTATCAAGCAGATGTTAAACAGACAATGATTCAATAGACCATATAAATTAAGTTTGTCAAAAATCCCAGCAAATCCATGATGTTTCAGCACGCAGAAAGTTCATTAAATCCATCTCCTAGAAGTGGCTTAAATTGGGAGGATTTTTTTTTTTTTTTTATGAATAATTGAATAAAGACTCTATTCCATTTTGCTTTTTTACAGAGATGGGCAGAGGAGGAGGAAACCATAAAAAACAATACAAGATTTAGATTAGATTTATTTGTTTGTTATTTATTTTGATTGAGATGAACTATGATGGTATCAAAAACAATGTATTGATCTTTAAATTAAAATTAAATAGACTATTTAGAAATTGCTTAACATGAATGAAATTTGATATTAGGTGGAATATGTTACGCTATGTCATCATCATTGGTAAGTTGCTTTTCTTTGGAAGTTTTATGATAATGTAGGCAAAAGCAGTGAAATGAAGTATATCTTGAATAGACCTTGAATTTCTAGTGAGATGAGGCAGCTGTTTAAACCTACCAAGCAATTACGAAGAGTACATTGATCATAACAACATTGAAGAAAAAGAAATTAAATGTATCTGCAAAAAAATTTGTTGTATTAACAGAAGATAAATAGATATTAATGAAGAAAAAGAAACTAAATAATACATCTGTATATATGTATAGTATAGTGCTATATAAATAATAGAAGAATGAAATAGAATTAGGGCATACCACCTATATATTTTTTCCTTTGATAATTTGTTTGGTATCTCAAAAATTTTATATTACATATCCTATACTGTGTGCTTTTTTTATTGTATTATATTTTCGAGGGGCCCCAATGATCAGCTTTGCTGGATGGGCTACCCTCTAGAAATAATAAAAAAATAATAAAATAAAATAAATAAATATAACAACAAACAACTTGTAAGAATAATATAAATATGAAAAGGATAGTTTGAAAAAGAAAATTAATAGCAGCCTAACAGCTATCCTCTTTAAATGGGCTACCCTCTAGAAATAATAAAAAAATAATAAAATAAAATAAATAAATATAACAACAAACAACTTGTAAGAATAATATAAATATGAAAAGGATAGTTTGAAAAAGAAAATTAATAGCAACCTAACAGCTATCTGCACCGTTGTTGAGAAAGCAATGTTGCCCCATAAACTCATGACTTTTCTTGTGTATCGGGGTACATAGTATTTTTGTAATATTTGAGATAGTTTGCCTAACTAATTATGTTTTATTTCTTAATATCATCTTGTATTTTTTAGAATATAAACATATAATAATTGAAATATTAAAATGTAACTTCTAGCTTGGGCTATCCCTGTATGTTATCTTGTTACTTGTAATAAGATAGTATAATACATACTCCATGTATCGAAATGCATGCCATCATGTTGGGATTCAATATTTCAACATTAATTATGTCATCATCAGAAATATTAATTATATCATCACCATTCCTGATGATGACATAATTAATGTCAAAATATTGAATCCCAACACGATGGCATGCATTTCTATACTTGGAGTATGCATTATACTATCTTATCTGAGATTAATCAGTGGCCAGTAATCCGTATACAGTAATATGTTTTCTATATAGATGGTGCATTAAAATTTCTTTTAATATGTAATGTATCCAAAAATAGCATTCAATAAGAAATATACTATACATACAGCTTTTTTGATAAGTCCTTTCATTGTCCCAGATAATGCTGCTCCCATTCCAAATCGTCCATTGTTCAAAATGTTCATAGCGACTTTAAATCCCTCTCCTACTTCTGTAATAATTAAACCAAAATACTTGAATGTTAACATTCATGAACAGCATTTTTTCCTCGTTTCAAAAGAATTGGATCTCCATGACCTTGCGATTTTAATAACAAAGCTCACTTCATTTACAAAGAAAACTGCATGAGAACAATCACTACACTGTACTACCAAAATCTGTTGTGGTGTTTTAAAGATTATTGTTACAGTAATTATTTATTTTATTATTATCATCATCAATATTATTATTATTTTCATTCAGTGGAACATATTTATTTACCTCCTAAAATGTTATCCAATGGGATTTTCACATCCTCAAAGTAGACTTCTGCAGTATTTGAGCACTTAATGCCCATCTTGTTCTCAGGTGGACCACTAATATTGAAACAATCAATTATGAAATTATTAATTCACATATTATTATTATTGTTACTATTATTATTATAAACAGCATCATCATAATTATATTTTAAGATCATTATCATTATTATTATAAACAAATGTATAGAAAAAAGCTAAATATTACTGAAAAAAACACACCATAAACTAACACAATCAAAGTATTATTATTGTGCTAGTTGTTTTGCCAACAAATGTTCAAGTAGGTGGTGCTGCTTTTAGAATCCAACCTACCTTGAGACTCCTCCAAAGCTCCTCTCTACAATGAACGCTGTGATCTTATCAGTAGTATTACCATCAGCATCTGTGACTGGGGTCTGAGCAAACACAGTGAAGATGTTGGCGATTCCACCATTACTTATCCTGAAGATAAAGTAAATACAATGTAAACAACAGTGAATACTAAGTAAGAGTAGTATTACATTCAGCCATAGGTGGAACCAGGACTTGAAACGTATAGCTTCTAGAGTACCATCGACCTTTTGCAGTAATTTAATACTTTTCAACAATTTTAATATTTTTATCATGCACCAATTTCCCCCCTTTCCCTCACCCACACCTGAGGTGATGATGATCTTACTTAGGGCCAAAGGCCTGAGGGAAGACAGTAGGCCAGGTCTACACATCAGTGAGGGGCTACAGACTTCACAATCTCCAGAATCTAGAGCAGTCAATATTTGTTTTATATACCTCATACATAGATTTTATGAAGCCTAAAAGGCGCTAAGCCTAGCCTACTTCATAGGCCTACTGTCTTTCAAACCTACGTCATAGGAGTGATTTTTGAATTTATTACAGTACCTACTTTTTAACCAATCAGATGCCTGGAATCCATGTGTGGTATATAACATAACATATTTAACAGAAATACGCTTACCAGATTTTACTTCCATTGAGAATGTAGTGCTTCCCATCATCAGAAAGTACTGCTTTTGAGCGAATTGACTATGGACAGAATATATTACAATAAAATTTTATAATACATGACTTGGAATTCTAAAGAATTATGGTGATGGTAATGATGTAATTAATCCACTTCAAACAGACAACTCTCCTATTTTATATATATACAGGGTTGGTGCATCTAGGGGTGCACAGGGTTACCCCCTAGCCAACAGAAGTTAAAATTCACCTCGTATCACTTTAAATTATGACCTAGAGCCCCCTCACTTAATCATTGATCCCCTCTCCACTCCACCTTGGCATCCCCATCCATACTCCTATTCGTCTCTGAATATTTGGCAAAGACGACAAAAACCAGTCAATCCTTGCAAAAATTGATTTTTAGTTATTAATACAGGGTTAAACAGCAAAATGAGATCTATTAAAATGTACTAAAATGGTGAAAGAATTCATTCAAATCTGACATTTCCTTAAGAAGTTACAGGAGTTCAAACATAAAGCTGTTTATAGAAAAATATTTGAGAAATCAGCCTGCAAAGTTTACGATTTCTGGCATTTTTCAGGAAAAAATCATTACCAAATCGTTAAAAATTGTTATTTTCACATTGAAAATAGGAAAAATAACAACATAGCATATGTATATTTATATAGAGGTTAGTTTAGTGCAATAAAATAGATTTCAAAATTTATGACATTTCAGCATGTTTTGGCCATTATCTCTGAAACACGATTTGCAACAAGTGATTGGTTTGGCTTGTCTTTGCCACATAGATGACTTTTTTTTGTTGCCACTGTAAAATACTATGTATCAATGTGTACATTCCCATTAGCAAATAATAAAAAGCTTGTTATCACACATTATCTACCAAATAAACAGGCAATTGAGTCAATCACTTCAGGAGATTATCACCCTGTATCACCATGAGGTGTAAAGTAAGCATATAATAGTTCTGTATGTATACCCATAAAGGAAATGTATACATTTATGTAGTTTACAAGATAAACCACAAATTGGCACAGCGATTATAGAATATGGGTTAATACAGTAATTCGTTTGTCATAATCATGGTATTTTTCCCAAACCTTGGGTTTGGGAAAAAAGCATAATATAAATTACTAGTACCAATTTCAGTAATGGGAATGTGTACAGTAAACCTCTTTTTGATTGCAATTTTAGGGGTTGCGGACACATTCGTGTTATGGCGCATTATTGCTGACACAACCCCTGGACCGTTTGATGTCAAATAAATAAATGAAAAATGAAAATGCAATTTTGATGTACTATAAGTTATATTATTGGCTTTGCATTGTGGTTAAGATTGTTTTATATATTGTACAGATTATGATAGAGGGCCTCTTCAAGTCAGCTTTAGCCTTTTCTCTCAAATTTGTTGAATAAATAAATAAATACCTAATGATTTATATAAAACAAATAGTAGTCTATTGAACTTACTATTATAAAACAATGTTAAAATATTACATAAATTTACTGGTGGTAGTAAGCTATAAATCCTAGAGAAAATTAGGCTTAAGCAAAGAAAAAAAAAGAGGTATATACATAATGCCTATTTATGCGGTGCTTGGTTGGATCATAGAGAAAATAGAACAGAAGGAGTAACATCGAGCGAAGATCAAAGGTACAGACCTCCTCGCCGCGATCGTAATTATCTCACCGTTACGTAACCTACTTGACAACAAGATAAGCAGAAATCGGCAAACGCGCATGCGTCGATAACTCTTACAATCATAACATAGCAACGTATTCTTATACACATCT